TTTTTTTTTTTTTTTTTTTTTTTTTTTTTTTTTTTTTTTTTTTTTTTCATCATGAAGGGGGGGGGGGTGCAAGTGTGTTTCGTACGCGCATATCTAAAATATTTTAATCAGGCCAAACTCGAAAGTCAATACTTGACCACTGTGTTTCAATTTCCAAGTTAGATCGGCAACGCCTCGATCCGTGTCTACGTTGGGCAATCGGGTTGCCTATCGGTTCACGGTTACGCCAAAGAGAAGATCAATGTTTCACGTAGCGTTTATGTCATACGTTATGATATCGTAGCGTTTGCTCCTTCATCCGATCGTTGAGAAATCGGTATGGTGCACCTCTCGACGACAATGGCCACTTTTGTTTCACAAAAATTCCTCGAGAGACGTCAGTGGATCGGATGAGCTTTTTTTGTTTTGTTTTTTACCGATCGACGGCCGGCCGTTGAGTCCTCACGTTCACCAGAGAGACCGTATCTCAGTCGGAACTGCTGGATCATTGAAGACTTTGACACTTTTTCATGACCTTCGTGCGTGACGAAACAATGTTTTGAAACTCCTGTACATTTGTATTGCGATTGACTTTCTCGGCTGACAAACTTGACCAACAATCCGTGAAAGCACGCGTACGTGCACTTGACCGCGTCCCCCAAATCAAACAAAAAAAAAAGTGAACGAGCTAATGATTGATCTTTAAAAATCCCACGTGTGACGTTTCAGGTGCAACCTGCGCCGGATCGCGAGACACGAGGAGTCGGAGTTCAGCAACGCGAGCATCCTAAACTGCATGGAGAGCTTCGTGCGTACCGTCAACGAGATGGAGGAGACGATCCTGGTGCCGAGCAGGCTGCTCGATCTCGCGGTCGGCGACTCGACCGACAGCGTGTGCCAAAAACCCGGCAAGCACGGCTGCGTCAAGGACACTTTCTACAACACGGATCTATACCGGCTCTACAACATCGTCAATCAGATGAAGGTCGAGCTGCTCTGGTCGCAGGAGAACCCCGACGCTTCGATCGCCGACAACGAGGTGAGGCCCTTTTTTTTCCATTCTATGTACCTGAAAAAATGAATCAATGAAAGATATGTTGACGATGACGATGTAATCCGTAGGGTCAGGAGGAGGCGCAGCGTAGCGGGAGCAACAAGGCGCAGGCCGCCACGGTCCAGGAGCCGGTGCGCCTCGGTCACGCCAGGTATCCCTCGACGACGTCGATGCAGAGCGTCCAATCGGCGAGCTCGACGGTCTCGTCGTCGTTGTCGTCCTCGTCGGCGAGCATGATCATCGGCAGCGGTGGCTCGACCTCGGACTCGGACTCGGACACCGGCATCGAGAACGACTCTGGTCTGGAGAGCGAGGAGCCGAGCGATCGGCTGGCCAACCTCGCGGCCGAGAACTTTAGGCGCCACCTGCGCGGCTTGCACCGCAGCATCGGCCGGATGACCGAGGCCGCGGAGTACCTCACGCTCAGATACCAGGCCGACGTGGGCGGACAGGTCTGATGACGCCGCGGTAGTGACCCCTCCCCCTGACACCTGCACCACCGCCATTAAGCCACCTGACGGCTATCGTTGTTTGTACGGGTGCGTTGATCGAGGATCGCCGCCAGTGTGATTGTTGTTAATCGTCCTCGTCGGGAGTGCGCTTTATGTGTATGGTTGACCCGAGAGACGTGCACATCCCCCTCCTCTACTCTTCTCTTCGTTGACGATCCTCCTGATTTTTTTTTTTTTTTTTTTTTTTTATGAGTAAATAAGTACATAATATATGCATCGTCTCGTCGCTCTCTATACGTCACGGGTGTGACGCTCTTGTACACACACTTTCTTCCTTTTTCTCTTCATCAAGCTCTTCACTTTGCTTTACCGTGATTTTTTCCAAAGACGAACGATGTGTATTTTCTCTCTCTCTCTCTCTCTCTTTCTTTGAAAAAGCCACCTGTCAAGTAAAGAGTAAAGCACACTTTTTCATTCCACATTATTCCAAAGAAACGATTCTTGTTGCATATTCGTTAATTTATACGCCGCGAGTGGAAATGTTAATTTTATTGTTTAGTCATGGGTTGCTTTTTCAAAAATATCCGCAGTGATGTGTCATTGGACAAGAAAGGGACGCGCGCTTTTGTTTTGCAACTAATTTTACGACAGCGCTTGATTGGAATCTGAAAAATAGAGTGTTATCACAAATTTATTGCTTTGTTGTTTCATTGTTGTGAAACTTTGAAATTACCAGATGAAACTTACCCTACAGCCACCGAGAATCCAATTCTGCGAGCATGTGCGATAATATATAAATTTCCTCCCTCGATTTATCGTTGAATTTGTTTTGACTTGTTATCACGCGCAAAACTGTTTCTTCGCTGGTGGTGAGCTGCACTATCTAGATTAGAATATCAGAATACCCCCCAAGGAGGAAAAAAAAAGAAAGTGTTATTGGATGCGGCAAACAAAAGCAAGTGCAAGTGTGTAGAAACAAAGTGGTATCGGACGCGCGCACGGCGGGATCGAGAGAGGGTGCAATAATAAGTTGTGTCACGTTTGGCGATATCGTGCACTTTTGTAAGAGGATTTATTTCTGTAGTTGCGCGTTTTGTGTGTGTGTATGTGTACATGGCGTCGAATGCATGAATATTTGCGTAAGAGAATGAATAACTATCATACCACGTGTGAGTGTGGAATAAAATATTGTCAATGCGAGGTGAAGTGACATTCATTGGAAATAAAGTTGATAATGTGCGGGTGGTGCGTGGGGCCGACTTTTTACGCCCCAAAGGTGGACGTATATATTATTTTTGTGTATATAGGAATAAGGAGACTTTGGAGAATTGTTTCGGTTTATAAGAATGTTTAGGAGATGGGCGATGTTCAAGTCACAAGCGACTTTATTTTTTTTTTTATTTTTTTACAAATTTTTCTTTCGAAAGAATCAAAATACAAAGAGAAGTGAAAATTCACAATTACTTCATGTTTCATGGGTGTTTGCTAGTAGAAGGGATAATTTATTTTGATTCAATGGGACACTGTCCACACATCATTTAATTAAATGATTACTTCCTCGCAGAGATAAAGATTACAATTGGGGATTCAATGGTCTGTACATAGAGATAGATTTCGTTATTTATTTTTTTCTTTTCAATTTTTTATCATCCGCTGCTCTAAACTTTTAAAGGTAAATAAATGTAATGTATACACACATATATACATACATGCATATATGAAATATAAACTTTGAGTTTCAGCTCTGCGATGCAAACTTATGCCAATGTCGTAATCTTTTGTATGGAAATATAAAAATATAAATAAAGAAAATGTCTAATCAACCACTTAAACATTATTCATGAGTAACGTCGTGTTCCATGCTTTGAATTCTTTGGTGCATCTGAAATTCGATTACATGCATGAGTTAAGATGAACTGAAAAAAACTTGAAAAATAAAAAAAGCGTTACATAACAATTTTGTTATTGTAATTAGAAACGCTGATCATTAAAAATAGCATCGTCAAACAGCAGAGCTAAATTTGCACATTTTTCGTCTGTACATATTGTATTGTAAATAAGTCTGAGGTTCAGTAATATTTAAATTAACAAATACAATACCTTTTGCCTTTTTAATATATGTATAGTCGAGGCACACCGCGTGCCATTCAAGTTTTATTTTAAGGATAATCTGATTGAACAGTACAAAAGTGCATGTAAAAAATGAACTCGAAGTCAATCAATCTTTTTTGAAATTATTATTAAAAAAGCTGGAATTAATAGTTTTATTTTTTGTTTCTCATTTTTGCACATGCTTGATATATTTTAATAAAGAAACGAGATGTAGTTTGAGAAATAAAAGACAACTATTGATTCTAGCGAGTAACTTGGATTTATAAGATAAACATTAATACAACTGAATTAGGAATTTGAAATGTTAAAATGTAATTTGCGATAGTATTTTAAAGTTTATCTACTGGTGAAAAATAATAGTCGTAATATAATAAAAAGAGTTTTTGGGAAAATATGATTTCAACACACTCACATGCAGAGGAGTGTAGCCAGCTGTATCTCTGCAGTTGACACTGGCATAGTGGTTAAATGAAAAAAAAAAAAAAAAAAGAGTTAGAACGGATTAAAAACAATACATGTGCATTCCAAGTAGCAAGATTGACGCAACATGACTAATGATTTGAACTTCATTCGCGTTTCGAACAAAGAGATTTGGGATTGTTATTGTTACCGCATAGACTATGATCATAAATGAAATATTTATTCTGACGAAAGGATATAAAAAATGATTTATTCCATTAGTCTAGTCTAAGTCTATGGAATGAGGATTGTTTTAGTGTATGTTATTCTGTAATTAAATGCGTCGTTGTAAAATCTTATATGCATAAATAATAAAAATTCTTTTGTTTAAACAGTGGCATTTTGTAACGTGACAAGACAAAGCGAACGAGTGAATTTTCAATTACCACACTGTCATGTCAATCGTGTACAACTTGATAGAATAGTGATAATAAAATTTTCATTGGTTCTTTTCAGAATATAACGTCTTTTCATTTATTGTCTTACTATTATAAAAATGCGTCGGATCGGTAAAACGTATCATACAATGCTTATTAAAGTATGTGTTAAAATATAAATGTATGTTTATCATAAATATATGATATTATGATTAAAAAATTCGTTAAAATTTTTATAAAATCTTTTTTAAAAGATCTATAAAAATTTAATCAGTTCGTTCATTAAATATTACATGTAACAAATCAAAACAATAAATAGTTCATGAATCATCAGCTGATGTTAACAGCCGTTACCAATTCTCGAATGTTGGCATACTCTGGATCACTGCTAAAAATATCTATCAGTTCCTGGAACGTTGGCCGATCCGAGGAGTCATAAGACCAACATTTTTGCATCACTTGATAAACGTTATCTGGACACTTTGGCGGTTGTGAGAGTCGTTCGCCTTTCTCGACGAGATCAATCACCTTTGAAATATCCATTGGTGAAACTGTTTGAATTGGCTCATGTATAGATATAAAGATTAAAAGTGTACTCACTTCAACACCACGCAAAGTTCCATACGGCTGTTGCCCGTAAGAAAACATTTCCCATAAGGTAACACCGTAACTCCAAACATCACTTGCATGTGAGAACGTACCAAAATTGTAAGACTCTGGAGCATACCTAAAAATAAAATATACTGTTGTAAGAATTTCAGGTAGGTGAATATTTGAGTCTGTTACAAAAACGCAAACCATTTTATCGGCCATTTTCCTCCTGCTGTGGCTGTATAGTAATCACTTGAACCAAACGTTCTGGAAAGACCAAAATCACTTATTTTTGCTTGATATTTCGAGGCCAATAAAATATTTCTAGCTGCCAAGTCCCTGTGAACAAGCCTCAGTTCTTCCAAGTACCTCATTCCTTTAAAAAATACAAGAAATTAAACTTTATTTTGTAAATTCTTCTTCAAACAAAGCTTTACATACCGCATGCAATTTGAGAAGCCCAAATTTTAAGCTCGTAACTTGGGCTGATTCTATCAGCAAATTCCAAAAGATATGCTAGCATCGAGCCAAGAGAAACTAACTCTTGCACCTTTTAAAAATAAATTTATATTTTTAAGAACGTATGAAATAATGGAATTTTTTTGACTTTTCTTACCATTAACAATGGCGGTCCTTCTGAAAAACCAATCAATTTGACAATACAATGATGATTAAGCGTCATCATTAATCGAGCTTCTCTCAAAAACTCCTCGCGAGTAGCGACGTTATCCGTGTCTCTCAACATTTTTATTGCTACGGGATCCTGTGTACCACACGGCGAATCGTAAAGTCCCTCGTACACAGCACCGAATTCTCCCTCCCCTAATACTTCTCCGAGAATTATATTCTCTCCCGGAATGAATACTACAAAAAGTAGATTTGAAACACTTTATTTTTTGTTATGCTCAAATGTAATAACTACATTACAACACTTATACCTTTATTTATTGGCACAGAATCATTTTCATCATCATTATCATTTTTTACGATTGCTGGTACAGCACTATGAAGATCACTATTATTATTATTATTATTATAATTGTTGGCACTATTGTTATCGATTTGATTAGAACAACTTGAATGCAAGTATGGCTTTTCCAATAATGGCTCGGGAACGGCTCTAGGAATGGAATTCTTTTTTTTCTTCAGAGTATCCTGTTTAAAAAAAATATTTTTATTTTTTTCAATAAATAAATTTGTTTATGTAATGTAATATCTCACTCCATTAAATATTGATGGAGGCATCTCAGGAATTGGGGGCTTGGGTACTGGTCTAATGTTATGAATTAAAGGTCCAGGAAGCCCATCTGGCATACACCGATAATGTTCTATGACGTGTTCCAAAGAAGGAAGATATGGCCCATTATCAATGAAGAGAAAGTTTTTCTGTAATCAGTAGTAGTTTAGGTATTAATACCCAAAAGCTTGTCTTAAATAATTCCTTTTCTATTATCTATTATTAAAAACAAACCTGCTTCTGTATTTGAAAGTGATAAGCTTGTTTATTGTACATCACTGTGAGAACGCGGATTCCATCGTGTCTTTCACTCAATCGAACCAAAAACGATCCATCAACATCTCCATTCTTGTGCAAAAGATTAATAGCTTCCATTCTATCCAGAGTACCGTGGTACCAGTCACACGTTTGTTCTCTTGTCGGTTTAACATAATTCCCTACAATAAAATAAAGTATTATTATATTAAGCACCTCCTTAGTTTGTTAAAAAATTTGTTGAAAAAAAAAAAAAATGTTTACGTATGATTTTCTCGCACTCCAAATGGCCATTTTGCTTGGCAAGGTCAGCAGGTACTTCATCGTCTAATGTTCGTGGATTAACTGGTGCATTTGCTGAGAGCAAAATTTCTATTACTTCACGGTGACCTCGGCTTGCAGCTTCATGCAATGGCACCATTCCCGTTTCCGTATGACGTGCTTGAATATTTGCGCCTCCAGCAATTAATATTTGTACAGTGTTTGGAAGATTGCTTTGGCAAGCATACTAAAGGGAGTTATTAACATATTAGTAGTGCATTAAATTAATTAGTATTACAGACAACAGAAATTACTTTTATCTTTATCTCAAAACATTACTATAAAAAATTTTCAGAAGAAGACTTGTACGAAATTTTACCTGGCTAACCTGGCTTGCAATAAAATCCTACTTTTTTATTGTTAAGCTTTTTTTAAAAAAACAGGACAGATGTATGTAAGTCGTAATATAATAAAAAGAGTTTTTGGGAAAATATGATTTCAACACACTCACATGCAGAGGAGTGTAGCCAGCTGTATCTCTGCAGTTGACACTGGCATTGCTCTGAATGAGCTTGGTTAATATTTCATCTGCTCCATCTTTGGCCGCTAAGTGAACTGCTGTTTGGCCAAGCTGATTCTTAGCATCTAAGCTTCTGTAGCCGCACTTGAGAAGCTCTGATACAATTGTGTAGTTTTTCTAAAACGGCGGGTTTGCTTAGGTAACAAGGAAACCACTAATCGATTCATTAAAAACAAAAAAACAAATACCTGTATAGTGGCCCTGTGTAAAAGATTCATGCGTCCATGTCTTCGTGTATCATGTGGTGGTGGATTACCTTTAACAGGTGTTTTTAATACTGTCACGAGCCCATGATTTTCTTCCTGATAATACTCAATAAGCGTGTCTAGACCGTGTATGGTTGTTTCATCATCTGGAACGTAATAAGTATGCAGATAAGCATGTTTGAACTTTTACAACTCTATTTACAGTCAACAAAACTGCATTAAATTGATTTGTTACAAAAAAAAGTAAATTACTACCTATAGAGAAAAAAGCGTCCTCTCCGTGCTTTCTAATCTGGTAATGTACCACTCCACCATTGTACAATGCTGAAAGGACATAATCTCCCAACGACGAGCTGCTTTCCCTCACAAGAAAAGTCCCATCCTCGAGATGATCTGAAAGATGCAGTGCAGTGTTTAACTACTAGCATCCCAGAGACAAAACATACAATGAACACAAACCTTTGACCAGCAAGTTTTCAGCATCCTCTCTTGATAGATTCTCGTGATACCAGCAAACATCATCCTCGGTACTCATGGCTGGAGCACGAAATCTATTTAAAACTCTTTGGTGTATAAAACTAGACAGACTATAAACTCAAAAACTACGAAGTTGAAACGGGTAAGTAATTAGCAAGAGATACGTGCGTTCCCAGATAGCACGACAATTCTTGAACAGTAGCAGCAGCAGCAACAATCTCGTGATCGTTTTTTAACATCAGGCCCATTGTGTTTTTAATCTTTTTCCGGAGCATTTGTCATCGCTCGGACTGTCACCGTCACCTGGGTGAGTAAAGATACTCTTATGTTTGCAATACACATTACACCCTCTCTCTTACCCCACTCCCACTGTCTCCTGTCCAGTATACATATGTCAACATATATATGTTACTAGACTAGATGGGTCATGGAGTCTCTTACACACTCACAATCGGTAGGTTAGGGTCCTGACTTAATGGGATCTGCAGTACCGTCTCCTCCACACTCTACTAACAGTCACCCGCTAGATGGCGCGGGTTCTGAGTTATTCAGCCTGATTAGCCTGAACTGCCTGAAGCTCGAAACTCGAAACTTGGCGGCGCTGGCCAAGAAAGTGGTTGTAAGCGCGGGCTCGCACCAGGTCGTCAGGACGTCAGGTCCATTTGTTCATCTTCGTTGAATAACTGTCTCCTACCAAAGAAAAGGCTGAGCATCCGCAATGGGTGACAGGGACAGTGGTAAGTAATAATGTTTTACGGTTAACTAACATTTAATTTCACGCCAAGGTACAAGACTACGCGGGAGATCTACAAGGTTAGAAGATTGAGAGTCGGCATTGGCATCTGACACACACACACACACACATACACATGTACTTATCGTACCGGAGGGTCGCCGGGGATGTTAAGCAATTGCAAGCATGTTTTCCCGCGGTTTTAGGGACTAAAAAAACTGTTGCTTCACTTACTGACTTTGTATTGATTTCAATTACAGAATAATTGGTTAACTACGAGAATTTCCTTCACTTTTTTTCACGAAAGGTTTTTGTACAAAAACAGTGAGCAAACTAACACCAAGAAGCCCATTATTTACCTTTGTCACCTTTGCAGGTGCAAATTACTCAATTGTTATTTGCGATTACAGTATCTTTTTGAATCCAATCGTTAATCGTTAATTTTTGCTCCAGTTTCTAAATCAAAATATGTGCTAGGTACCTTAATATGCCTAAAATTCAAACCTTGTATTTAGTTGTCATTTTCAACAAAATTATGTACTTATAAGAAACATGAAACAATTTTTTACTTGTAAATGCAGGTGTTAGACTTACAGAAATATCTTAGCTTAATTATTGATTGAATTTTACACAGAAACCTTTGATGACGCTGTTGAGGAACGCGTCATAAATGAGGAGTACAAGATTTGGAAGAAGAATACTCCCTTCTTGTATGACCTTGTTATGACCCATGCCTTGGAATGGCCTTCATTAACAGCTCAGTGGTTGCCGGATGTAACCAAGCCAGAAGGCAAGGATTACACAGTACACCGACTTATCCTTGGCACGCATACATCCGATGAGCAAAATCATCTATTAATTGCCAGTGTACAGTTACCGAATGAAGATGCGATTTTTGATGCTTCACACTATGATAATGAGAAGGGAGAGTTTGGAGGATTTGGATCAGTGAGTGGTAAAATTGAAATCGAAATTAAAATCAATCATGAAGGAGAAGTCAATAGAGCCAGATATATGCCTCAAAATCCTTGTGTCATTGCAACCAAGACACCATCCAGCGACGTTCTAGTTTTTGACTATACTAAGCACCCAAGTAAGCCAGATCCCAATGGAGAATGTCATCCAGACTTACGGTATAACATCTATTGTTATTGATATTGATATTAAAAATTACAACAAATTAATTGAATTATTGGTTTTCCTAAAGGTTACGCGGTCATCAAAAGGAAGGCTATGGACTCTCTTGGAATCCAAATCTTAATGGATACTTGCTGAGCGCTTCGGACGACCACACGATTTGCTTGTGGGACATAAACGCCACACCAAAGGAAAACAGAGTAATTGATGCCAAGACTATATTTACAGGCCACACGGCTGTTGTTGAAGATGTTGCCTGGCACTTACTTCATGAATCCCTGTTTGGCTCTGTGGCTGATGATCAAAAATTGATGATCTGGGACACGAGGTAAAAAATAGTTTTGCATTAGTTGGGCCATAAAATTTATTTTGAATATAAGTTTATAAATAATGTATGATTAACTTGTATAATATTTACTTACAGATGTAACAACACAAGCAAACCGAGTCACACGGTTGATGCTCATACAGCAGAAGTGAATTGTCTAAGTTTTAATCCATATTCCGAATTTATCTTAGCAACTGGAAGCGCTGATAAGACTGTAGCTCTGTGGGATTTGCGAAATTTGAAATTGAAATTACATTCATTTGAATCTCACAAGGATGAGATCTTCCAAGTCCAATGGTCACCTCATAATGAAACGATTCTTGCTAGCAGTGGCACAGATAGAAGATTACATGTCTGGGACCTTAGTAAAATTGGAGAAGAACAGTCTAGTGAAGATGCAGAAGATGGACCTCCTGAACTTTTGGTTAGTATTTGGTTGTGTTTCCTAATTTTTGTTCATACACCGTTATTTTATTGTCTAAGGGTTAAAGTTGGCTATAAATACTTCATTGTTATTTATATGTATTATAGTTCATCCATGGAGGACATACTGCTAAGATCAGTGACTTTTCCTGGAATCCAAACGAGCCTTGGGTCATTTGTTCTGTGTCTGAAGATAACATAATGCAAGTTTGGCAGATGGCTGAAAATATTTATAACGACGAAGAGCCAGACACGCCTGCCAGTGAGCTCGAAGTTGCAGGAGCGATTAATTAAGTGGCTACCCGCAAAAACATTCATACTTTTTTATTCATCAAACATTATTTAACAATTGTGTTATTCCATTTCTTCAATATGAGTTAATGAGAACTAATTTTGTAAGCTCATAAACTTGAATATTTAACGAGTGTTTGTATGTAATGTTTTTAATTAAGTGTCAAAACTATCATACATGCATTAGAAATGTAACGATTAATATTCTGTAAACCAACTGTCGATATTTTTTTAAGAGTTATTAAAAAATAATGGAAAATTATTTTACATTGTGTGAAATTTGATTTCATAAATAAACCTGAAATAATGAAGATTGATATAAACGCTTGAGTTGAAGTCATTTGTTTTTAATTAATATTTTTATTTTATCGAAAAAGAGCTTTTTAAAGCTTCATGAATGTACCAATTTACAGTAACGAAATCTCTCATACAGCTGTGATGGAAAGTTCTTGGTAGATTTGAGCAAGTAATGATCCGTTTTCACTGCGATCACTTTCGGGACTGCTAAGTGATATCATGTCCTCTGAGTCAAAATCTGATAATCTGCCGAAGAAAAAACAAATTAATTTCTTTGTAGCACGAACACATATTAGACTATCACACTAATAGTAAGAATACCATTTAAAAAAAAGCATTGCAGCATATATTACCAGCGTTTCGAAGCTGAGTGAGAACGGCTACATGTATGCAAAACAAAAACTTCGACATGCAATTACTTTACCATGCAACAGTTGAATCAGAAATGAGCGTGAAAGTATTACCGTTTTACAGGAGTTTTTTGGCATCGAATCCCGTCGAGTAATCTCGAAATGGGAATCGACGTATCTGGACGGAAAATCTGCAAAAAATTGTATACATATAAACAACAAATCATCTAGCAAAAACTTTGATAACGAGAAAGTTAAACCATTGAGTATAATTACATTAACTGATGCATTTCGCAATTCACGAAGATCAATGTTGCGAAACAAATCGTGAAATATAAGCTCTTCTATGCTGGGATAAACGGCCCCCGGTGCACGTCGATCAAATATAAATTCTAAACAATCTGATACCTGCGCAATATCGAATAAATCGCTTTTATCGTACAGAAAAATGGATAATACATATGTATATTTATTTTTAATCCAGTGAATTAATAGCACGCACCTGAGGATATTTATGAATATCGGCAAAGTTGGCGGCAGTCGGTTCAAAAGTGCAAAGCTCGTAGCCGGCTGTCATCTCGAAGAGCATGTGACCTTTTTAATAATACGCAAGTTGTTTTATACACATATTTTTACGAAAGAAAATAAAGAATTAAAAATTGCTACCAATCATAAAACAATACATACCAAAGCATATAACATCAATAGAATCGGGTGCAAGAGGATGCTGTTGTGGATGATGATGATGATGATGATGATGATGATGATGAGAAGAAGGATGTTGCTTGAGACCAGCCGCAGTGTCGTGCAGCCTGGACGCGATAACGGGGTGGTTGCGACTAGTGAAGCCCAGCAAGCTGTTCTCGAGGGCGGCAAGTCGAGCCACCCCGTTCTGGACGATGACGTTGCCGGAGTGCAGGTGCGCCACTGTCGGGAAGTCGCGTTCCTTGAGGAAGACCAGAGCCTCGAGCACTTGGCGGCCCATCCGCTGGATCTGCGGGATCGGAAGGCCTTTGCCCCGGCTACCGTACTTTTGCGACCAGTCCTCGTTCCAGCAGTTGCGCTCGATCTGCACCATATAGGACAGAGTAGAACACGGGTTAAAACGTTTCTGCTTATTATTTATTTATTTATTTATTTATTTATTTATAGAATTTACGGGCCTTAGGCCCAATTACAATGAAATAACACATAATAAAGTGTGTTGCCGAGCGCAGCACATAACAGTTAAGTAGATAGTGCAGTAACATAATTATAAAATAGAAAACTAACTTGAAATATAGAAAGCATAGCAAATAACGAGTAACTTTAAAAACGAAAATAATAATGTACATACAATGTGTCAACGTAATTAGTAAATATGCATGAGTAGTGGTATATAATTTCGAGATCAAATAAAATGTTGAAATATTAAATATTAATTAATATTGTTAATACTGTTATTAGTTAACTGTACTAATAACAGTTTAAATTAGTATTAAATA